ACTCCGATAAGGAAAGGGTTACTCCCCTTGTTTTTATAAATGAAAATTGGGGGGAAAAGCCATTTGAGAGCTGGCACCCCTGGGCTGCTTTCTAGAGGAATATATGTCGCATTTTATAAAGGCAAGAGCATTAACATGTTCAGGATGCGATTGGGGAATTACATGTTAGCCAAAATAGCAGAGAGCCAAATCCAGTCAGTCATCTGCTTGCATGTGTCGAATGCTGTCTTTAATGACACAATTACTGAAGGGTTTTTACACATCTTCATTTTTCTTTCAAGGCACACCGAGCCAATTGTAGACACATCTCATCCATAGCTACAATCAATACTGAGTACGCCTCGCACCGCAGACCCGAGTGGCATGTAATTATGAGGCTGTATTGATTTTCCCCACAAAGGGGCTGCTAACATAGAAAAAGCAGCTTGACTTTCAAATGACTAGGCCAACAGCCTTTTTTTTATTTGTCCTAAAGAAAATTAACACCGTTTGGTGAAAGGCCTGAATCCCACCCTGGGCACAGTGGCAAAAGTTTCAGGAGGTTCTCTTTCTCTCTGGTAATAAAACCCAGCCATTCCAGATTATTCCAAACTTAGTCTTCTCTAGTTCCTCCAATACAGAACAAGAAAGATGAAATGGTGAAATCATAGATTGATTGCATATTAGCTCTTACAGAAACAAAGGGGCTTTAAAGCTCCTCCTTCTCCAGGTGGCAATAATAACTTGGGAGAGCTCTGCCATGAATTTTGTACTTAATGTCAGCCTTACCCTTCCACCTACATTTTGGGAATAATAAATGCAATGTTGTAAAAAGTACGAGACAATCTATGCAATGAGAATCCTAATGAGCGCCATAGATCATGAAGCTCTTCCCGTGTCCTTCACTCTGTACCCACCACAGGTTTTGTCGTTGCTGAGGGGTCCTTGGTGCTCTCTGAGCTTGCTTCTATTCTTGCAGATGTTTCATTACCCAAACTAGGTAACATCATCACTGCTAGTCTAGTGCTAGTCTAGCTAGTCTACTAGCACTGATGATGTTATCTAGTTTGGGTAATGAAACATCTGCAAGAAAACAAGCAAGCTCAGAGAGCACCAAGGACCCCTCGTGTCAACCCTGAGCTACAAGTATTCTCCTTTATTTGTTGTTATTGTCAGTGACTAAACTGTGCATGACCTCATGGACCACAGCTTGCCAGACCACTTTGTCCTCTGCTTTCTACCAGAGTTCATCCAAATCCATGTTTGTTGCATCTATGACACTATCTAGCCATCTCATCCTCTGCCATTCCCTTGTCCTTTTGCCTTCAATCTTCCCCCCCCCCTCCAAATCAGGGTCTTTTCTAGTGAGTCCTCTCTTCTCCTCATTTGGTCTCCAGAGTATTTGAGCTTCAGTATCTGTCCTTCCAAAGAACAGCCAAGTCAAACTTTAGGTTTGACTGATTTGATCTCCTTGCAGTCCAAATGGCTTTCAAGAGTCTACTCCAACATCATAATTTGAAAGTATCAGTTCTTTAGCATATATAGCAGGGGTGGGTTCTAAATTTTTTTACTGCTGGTTCTGTGGGTGTGGCTTATTTTGTGGGCATGGCTTGATGGTCATGTGACAATTCTTTAGGATTTAGCAGAGGCACTGGTCTACCAAGCTTTTAACTCCTTGCAGAGCTGTACCGGTCTACCCATTTGTTTTTGGAGGCACTGGTCTACCCATTTGTTTTTGCAGGCACCGGTCTACTCATTTGTTTTTGGAGGCACCGGTCTACCCATTTATTTTTGGAGGCACCAGTCTACTCATTTGTTTTTGGAGGCACCGGTCTACCCATTTATTTTTGGAGGCACCAGTCTACTCATTTGTTTTTGGAGGCATTGGTCTACCCATTTATTTTTGCAGGCACTGGTCTACTCATTTGTTTTTGGAGGCACCGGTCTACCCATTTATTTTTGGAGGCACCAGTCTACTCATTTGTTTTTGGAGGCATTGGTCTACCCATTTATTTTGCAGGCACTGGTCTACTCATTTGTTTTTGGAGGCACCGGTCTACCACCACACTGCCTTTTAATACTGATCAGCTGTAGGGCGGCCCTTTGAAGCCCCACAACAAGAGTTTAAACAGTTTTTTTCCTTCTAGCCAATCAGCTGGGATTCAGGAGGCAGCAATAGATTGGGGGTGGGGCCAAATAAAAGGTAAGAATAATACGGGGGGTAGGGGGGCAGAACCGGTTCGGTGATGTCATATCGTCACTGCTACCGGCTCGGCGGAACCGGGAGGAACCCACCACTGATACATAGCTTTCCTTATGGTCCAGCTCTCACAGCCATACATTACTACTGGGAAAACCATAGCTTTGACTCACTGCAGTAGAACTCCTCCCTGTAATCTCCCATCAAGATTCTGTAAACTGATAAGAATGCCTCTTAGATGGCCAAAACTTTAAGAGGCTACAACTATTTTTTCCTAAACATTTGGAGAAGGCATATTTAGAGAACAAACCCTGGTTGCTCGTGGACATTATTGCTGAACTTAAGTCCCACAAATTTGATTGCACTGGTTTTATATTCTTTTTTGTTGTTATTTTTAAACCATTTCTTGATTTCTAAATAAAGAATGGGCTGTAGGGGTTAGGGGAAATTAAACTTTACTATTGTCCATATATTGGTATAAAGAATAGCATATTTCTCATCCTAAGGCAGGACTTCTTATGTAAAAGATACCCTTCAACTGAATCTAAGGACATGTGGGTCAAGATTATTTAATTTCAGTGCTTCCCCCAGCTCTCTACCACCCGGGTGTTTCAGATGATTTCCATATAATACGCTTGCGTGGGATTGTGTTGCATTCTCTGTCTCCTTGAACAGATTTTCCCCTGACATTATAATTATAAGAACAAACATGACTATTATAGCCATCGGATACAGCAGAAAGGATCTTCATTGTTGCTTGGTTGGTTTAAAGTATATTCCTTGTTACGCACACAAGATTTATGATCTTGTTGGATATTGGTTCTGTTGGTTCTACCACATTATCTCTTAACTTTGGGGACATGGAGGACCATCAAATAGTGGCTGTTAGACATAATACAGATAGTCCTCGTTAGATAGTGACCGTTCAAAGTTAAAACAGCACTGAAAAAAAGTGACTTATGACCATTTTTCAGAGTTATGACCATTGCAGAATCCCCATAATCATATGATTTACATTCGGATGCTTGATAACTGACTCATTTTTATGACGGTTGCAGTGTCCCTGGGACATGTGATTCCCGCTTTGCGCCCTTCTGACAAGCAAAGTCAATGGGATCGCCAAATTCACTTAACGCTTGTGTTACTAACTTAACCCCTGCAGTGATTCACTTAACAACAGTGGCAAGAAAAGTCGTGAAATGGGCAACATTCATTTAACAACTGTTTCGCTTAGGTTGTAAGTCAAGGACTACCTGTAGAGGCATTAAAGAACTGATTTTGTACATTATGATCAGTGTTTTAGACTGAAACTCCAGGCTTTCAGCACAGTCTTGTATTCAGGTTGTATACTTCTGAAATACCATATTTTTTGGACTATAAGACACTCTGAACTATAAGACACACCTAGCTTTTGGGGAGGAAAACAAGAAAAAAAAATCTGCCTCTGCCTCCCAGCAATTTGCCTCCTTGCAGCAAACAGCAAACAGCCGGGTCAGTTTCAGCACAGCCTGATTTAGCACAAGCAGCTGATCGGCAGTTGGATCGGCCTCCCAGAATACCTCCTATCAGCTGTTCCAGGCTGGGGAGATCATCACTGCTGGAACAGGCCGAAAATGGGATGCGTGGAAGCTGAAAACAGGACACACAAAGGCCAAAAATGGGGCATGCAGAGTTGGTGATGGGTGGTGATGGTGATGATCCTTGCAGCCTAGAACAGCTGATAGGCGGTATTCCGGGAGGCAGATCCAACCACCAATTATCTGCTCATGCTAAATCAGGCAGTGTTGAAGCTGACCAGCTGTTTGCTGCAAGGAGGCAAATTGCTGGGAGGCAGAGGCCGAAGAGTAGGGGCCAGCGAGTGGGTGGGGCTTCAGCAACATTCACTGTATAAGACACGCAGACATTTCCACCCACATTTGAGAGGGAGGAAGTGTGTCTTATACACCGAAAAATACGGTAGATTAATTTAATCTCAGAAAGATTGCTCTTAGCATGGGATCCAGAAATGCACGTTTCCATCAAGTCAGCGACAAACTAAATCTTATTGTGACATATCTTCAACTTCTTTAATATGTGACATTGAGTTCTCTTAGAATCTTGATTCGTTTGTTTGGTAGACAGATGATGCCCAAAACTGTTCCAAAAATATTTCCTTATGCTGAAATCCACTCCATTATTGCTACAGCTAAAATACACCTATTCTCTGATTGAGATAGCAGGCTGATAGCAGGATTGAGATAGCAGGATCAGATATATGTTTACCAATTTTAATTTTGGTCACTACAGGTTTGCTCGCGCAAATTTGGTCTCAATTTTGATCACTACCGGTTTCAATTTTGTTTCAATTTTGATCACTACTGGTTTCAATTTTGGTCACTACCGGTTTCAATTTTGGTCACTACTGGTTTCAATTTTGTTTCAATTTTGGTCACTACCAGTTTGCGCGCGATGCTTCTGCACATGCGCAGAATCTTTTGCATATGTGCAGAGATATCCGGGTGGGTGGGCGGAGCCTCCCACCACCGCTGCTACCAGTTCGACTGATCTGGGATGAACCGGTAGCAACCCACCACTGATGTTTTCCTCAGAAAAAATTCTCAGATGGTTAACTTGGCTGGAATTCAGGAAATTTGTGGTCTCAGTGGTTATGGAGGACTTTTGATAGCAAGGATGCTTAGTTGCCAGTTAGCATGTTTACCTTTAGCCAAAATTATTTTTCCACTTTCTTTCTGCTCTGTAGCATTTTTGGTTTTCAAAACTAACAAGAATTATGTGATTTTCCTAGTTGATTTTAATGATTTATGTCTGCCTTCCTTTATAGCAGCAAAGGAGAGAGAAGGAGCTAAGAAAACAACAAGAGAGGGAACAACGGCGGCATTATGAAGAACAATTGCGGCGAGAAGAGGAAAGGAGACGGGCTGAACACGAGCAGGTGACGAGCTTCAGATCCAAATGATTGTATTTTTTTTACAGTGCATGCTACTTTCTAAGTATCAGACTTGCCACTCAAAAAGAAAGTTCAGTGTGAGCCAACTTCTTCATATTGTATGGAGATGTTGTTGGACTGAGAGATCCAATTTAATAGCAATAGAACTTAGACTTATATACCACTCCTTAGTGCTTTACAGCCCTCTCTAAGCTGTTTTACAGAGTCCGCATATTGCCCCCAACAATCTGGGTCCTCATTTTACCCACCTCAGAAGGATTGAAGGCTGAGTCAACCTTGAGCCAGTGAGACTCAAATTGCCAAACTGCTGGCAGCTGGCAGTCAGCAGAAGTAACCTGCAGTACTGCATTCTAACCATTGCGCCACCACATCTCATTCATTCCTATTATTGACATGAATATACATTCTGTTGCCCTCCACAATGTGGCTTTAGGGGTCTGTGGGTTTTGATGTAGTGCTTAAAGGTAACTGGCTAGAAACAGGGAGATTCAACTCTAGGAAGAAGGCAGTGGCAACCACTTCTCAAAAAACATTACTAAGAAAGCTGCATGGGTTTGTCCAGCAGTCAACAGAATTCAGACTGACTCAAGCACATGCATGTGCCCAGAGACACACAGAGACACAGATTGAATACAAATAATCCACAATTTTCCACCATTCATTTAGGGACCGTTAGAAGTTACACCACACAGAAAAAAGTGACTTACAACCAGTCCTTGCACTTACCATCGTCACACCATCCTCTTGGTCCCATGATTAAAACTCGGATGCTTAGCAACTGGCAAGTATTTATAATGGGTGCAGCATCCCAGGGCCATGTACTTGTCACTTGTGACCTTCCCAGGCAGCTTCTGACATGCAAAGTCAATGGGGGTAGGAAGCTGGATTCACTTAACGACCACATGATTCACTTTAACAACCGCAATAAATCATTTACCAACTGTGGCAAAAAAAGTCATAAAATCAGGGACTGCTCACTCTAACAAGCACCTTGCTTAGCAACAGGAATGCCAGTCCCAATTGTCATAAGTCAAGTGCATACATAAGTGCAGTACAGTAGTAGAGTTTTGACATGTAAACCTACCTGTGAATTGGGAACATCAACTGAGCCTTCCTTAAAATTTGGCATGTGGCAGGACAGGATGCATTTGCCTTAATGAGCATACGTTCCTCATAAAATTACACCTAGCGGCAACCCCCTGCTCACTTCTGAGAAAGTTTCATCGAATGTAACAGAATCTAATTCTCAAGATCCGTTTCCTGGATCTTGGTTCCTGCTGTTTTTCAGTTCTTCCTGCAATGTTAAAGTTTTGTGTGCATACATGTTCCTGATTCATCTCCAGGTAAAAGAGGGAGTGAGAAGGGGATTCTCTGCTTGAAATGTTTGAGACTTTCTATTGTTTAGAGTAGGTGATTCTGGACTAGGTGGAGATAGTGTAGATGTCAATATAGTAGAATATAGTATAGTATTTCCAATATAGTGGAGATTTAGATTTTTATTTTGGAAGGGCAGTCACTTTTATTAGCACACTCCTTATTTTAAGGGATGTGATGGCTCAGTGGCTAAAACACTGAGTTTGTCAATCGAAAGGTCGGCAGTTCAGTGCTTCAAATCCCTAGTGCCATGTAACGGGGTGAGCTCCCATTACTTGTCCCAGTTTCTGCCAACCTAACAGTTTGAAAGCAGTGCTTCAAGTAGCGCAAGTAGAAAAATAGGGACCACCTTTGGTGGGAAGGTAACAGCGTTCCGTGCGCCGTTGGGGTTTAGTCATGCCAGCCACATGACCACGGAGATGTCTTCAGACAGCGCTGGCTCTTCGGCTTTGAAACAGAGATGAGCACCGCTCCCTAAAGTCGGGAACAACTAGCACATATGTGCAAGGGGAACCTTTACCTTTACCTTATCCTTAGTCTGTAGTAACGTTTCTCCACCTCAACTAAATACAGGTGCTCCACGACTAATGACCACAATTGGGCCCAAACTTTCTGTTGCTAAGTTGTTGAGTGAATTTTGCCCCATTTTATGACCTTTCTTTCCACAAGTTTTAAGTGAATCCCTGCAGTTGTAAATTAATAACATAATCTGGCTTCCCCATTGACTTTGTTTGTCAGAAGGTCACATGACCCCAGGATACCGCAACCGTCATAAATATGAGTCGATTGCCAAATGTCTGAATTTTGATCACATGACCACGAGGATGCTACAATCGTCATAAGTGTAAAACATGGTCACAAGTCACTTTTTTCAGTGCTGTTGTAATTTCAAATGGTCACTAAACGAACTGTTGTACATCGAGGACTACCTTTATTTGGTTGTTCTAAGATTTGTCTGCAACTCTCATCTCAGTTTAGTAAACCCTTACAGGTAGTCCTTCTTTAATTATCGCAATTGAGACCTGCAACTTGGTTGTTAGGTGAAGTGGGTTGCGAAATGAAAATCACATGACCACAATTATGCTTATGATATTACTTCAGCTTTCCTCTGCTTTACAGTATCAGAAAGATATGACATCAGTCAAGTGAACCCACATGGTTTCTGAAATTCAACTCATGAAGAAGCTGAGTAAAAGGGCAACTCTTATAAGCCTTTTTTGCATTCCTTCCCTTTGGAATGCTTACCTGTGCACTCGGGTAATTAGCAAGAAAAGAATTAATGTTTGCATTTACTTTCATTCGAGAGAAAGGGATTACAAGAGAGTACACAGGCACACAATGGGGGATATACAGTATTTCACAGCCATAGTATATTTATGCATCATTCAGTATTAAATGAAACAACATTCAGTTATTTTCTCAGTAACAGTTTTTGCAGCTTGTGTGATATTTAGTCAAATGTATTGCACTGTATTTCTATTTTCTCCTTTTGCTCCCACCCTCCTCTATCAAGCAACAATCTTTAACGGTTATGTGATTTTTTTTCTCTCCTCCTCTTACAATCACCTTTTTTGCCTTTGGAATTATGGTTCTCCCTTTTCTCTCCTTTTTCTGCTTCCTGCTTCCCACCATCTCCAGGAATACATCAGGCGACAGTTAGAGGAAGAACAGAGGCAGTTAGAGATCCTGCAGCAGCAGTTACTGCAGGAACAAGCTCTACTTCTGGTAATGGGGAGGCAGGATCCATCTTACGTGCTTTCTCCCATCCTTCCTGTCTGTAGCAAAACAGCATGCTATTAGCCTTTATAGAGTTGCCACCTTTCCCCCCATTTTTTATACTTGAAAGTATTAAAATGTTGGTCAATTTGGCATTAACATTTCTGAAATCTGCAAAGCATGGGGGTGGAAAGCCACCAAGATTGGGTCTTACTTATTGTGCAGTATGATTTGCTTTTAATCAGGACACAGAATCACATTGCAAATTGTTTAAAATTTATTTTGAATAGGAAAGAGAAAGCAAGAGCTCATAAGACAGCAGCTGGTCAGCTTTCGGCTACTGAATTTTCTGGGATCAGGGTCCAAGCCTTCATAAAAAGACCCCCTAAGCTTTTGCACAGGCTATTGGAAAAGTCCCCAAATCTTGAAAGATTAGCGCAGGATAGTTGTGGTTTTAATGTGAAATTTGGACAATTCATTTCTTGGGCGATCCAATGAGCATCCTACTGCTTTCTGTGTTGCATTGCCAATCTCTGTTCTAAGCCTTAAGTAACATTTTATTGAATATTTCATTACATCTTCCAATAACATTTTCTTTTTCCAAATTTAGCTCCTTGGTGATTATATTTCTACCAAGAACAAAACATAGACTTTATAGGCCAGAATTTCAGTGTAGTTTGTTTGTTTGTTTGTTTGTTTTACTGTTTCACCTTCTTCATCCAAGAGGTGCTTTAAACTTATGGAGAAAGAGAGTTTCATGCACAACCTACAGCTGAAGATAGCTATAGTCATCCTGGAGCATATATATGCCAATTGAATTTAATTCTTAAATAACAATAGTTTCTAAGTCCAATTAACTGGCTAGAAAGAGAAGAATTTCTGAGAAATAAGCACAGTCTGAAATCCTGATTTTGGGAGACCCTTCCAATGCCAATAAGCAGTGTTGCTCTTTATTTGTGGCCTGAAAGTAATAGTGAGGTGTTAATGGGGACTACCAAAGAAGGGAGAAGGAAATAAGATCAGAAAACAACAAGAATGGGAAACAGTGCTAGTAAACAAAGGAATTTTGGCAGGGGGCAGGGGAGTGGCAATCCTAAAAGACTAAGCTAATATGAAAAGCCATACTGGGGAGAAGCTGGTCTGCTAAAGCCCAACTTTTATCTCCAGAGTAGAAGATAGCATGCTGTATTAGTTTCTTTCTGAATGCAATCCTACCAAGAACTCTGAATGTTTGTATTGCCTTTTTATTAATAATTGGGGATGCAGTTGGAGGGAGAGTTCCTTGCTTGCACATTTTTCTCTGCATGTCTCCGTTCTCTACTCATTACTGAGAATTAAGTGAAACCTCCTAGAAATATGTCCTACAGTACAATATCCACCCACCTTCTAGCTTCTCTACTTTATGCAATCTGGTGGCATGTTGCTTTTTATAGGCGGCTTTCTTTACATTCATGCTAGAAGAGTGTGTGTTGGAGTCCTATATATCATTGCATTTTACGCTCCTTAAAGTTAAGTAGACAAATACACAAACTTTCCCTTAGACCTTCTTTGTCCCTTCTAGTTCAAAGTTGCATCTTGTCAGTATTTGGGATATGTAATTTAGGGGTTGTTGTTTTTTAACCAGTATTGCAGTAATTAGTGATATTTGAATTTTATTCCCTTGTTAATAGAACAAGCAAAAAAAACAAACCCTTCTGTATAACGATTTCTGTTACTGCCAGCCATTTTGATAATTCTGCACTAGGAGTCAGTTAAAATAAAAATGCAATTTATTAGATTTAACAATAAATGCCTTTCAGATTTAATGTTTTCTTTGTGTCAATGACGGCATCAGTTTGAACTTATTGTGATTATGCTTCCCTGATAGCTACTAGTACTGTATATCCATATTTTAAATAAGCATAACTTTAAGGAACCTTTAAACACAGTCTTAACTTATTTCATCCCATTTAAACTGACACAGTCACATAAATAATGCACATTAAACTTGGTGGAGTTTTTTACCCCCTTTGAAAGTCACTTTATATGTAAAGCCTAAAATGAGATTGAATAGAGATCTAATTGCTTCCCATTCAAATAGATCAAACAAATACTTTTTGTGATGGATGTTACGATTTGGTAATGAAATTGATTGGAAATGGGCAATGAGTAAAGGGTGTGTATATGCAGAATAAATGGAGTTGAGAGCTTCAATTGCTCTTTGGTAAGGGGCTGGCCAAAAGTTCACATTAGCCAAATACAACAAATATCAGAATCCATACAAATCACAATCATTGCATCCTTTAATGTTATGTTTTCATCCAGTAAACATTTTCCTTTTAGACATGGCTGTTCCCTCACAATAGCAGTCTGACAATGGGAGCATATCCCACAATTTCATACTCCTCTCTGGCTTTATTAATTTTGTGTGGTGCATATGTCTTGGTAGGAATACAAGCGCAAGCAGTTGGAGGAACAACGGCAAGCGGAGAGGCTACAGCGACAACTGCAACAAGAACGAGACTATCTAGTTTCGTTACAGCAGCAACAGCGACAGGAACAAAGACCAACTGAGAAGAAGCCTCTCTATCATTATAAGGAGGGGATGAACGCCACTGAGAAGCCAGCTTGGGCAAAGGAGGTAGGCCTGATCACATTTTATCTTGGAGTAGTATACAAACCGGTTTCATCAAAATTGAATTTGCGCCCATTTTCAGCCTCCGACCCACATCCAAAACTTTTTGGTATTCATTCTTCATTATATTGGGTTATTTGGCCCAATAACTTCATCTGCCCTCTGATGTCATCAGGTCCTTGTATCCAATCCAGAGGCTAGATTGATTGAGGTTCCTTACAATTCTGAAATTCCATGGTTGTATCATCTATTTGGATCTGGGTAATATGATGTAACTGGGTAAAGTTACCTGTGTGTCTAATCCTGGAAAGAAAATGATTCAGCAACAAAATAGAATTGCAGTACTGATGGTCAGGATTTTAAAAACTTGAGTGTTTTCACTGGTTTCTATTTGCAAAAGAAAAGATCTCTTCTGTCTTAAGTATTTTTCAAACAATTTGAAAAAACAAAATTCACCAGTATGTGATACTTAATAGAAATATTTTTTTTAAAAAAAGTCAATGATACATGTTTTATAAGGTATTATAGGGTGGAAAATGCTAGTATAGCCAAAGCATCCATTTAGAAGGGTTCCATGTGTGGTACTAGCTGATAAGTCTTCATGCCTAACATTGACAATTGTTGCTCGTGCAGCCTTTTGATAGGTCAGGAAAAGTTCCTGTTGCAGAGCATTTTTAATACCTTGGTTAATTATATATACACATGTTGCTTATATGTAGAGAAATTATATTTTAAAAAGCTCTCCTGCAGTTTTTAAAGTTAGGTATCAGAAGTAATGCACAACTGAATCCATTTTTCACAGTGTCTAACATGAGAACAAATAAGTATTTTTCCAATTCATATAATAGGTAATTGAGGATGGATGTGCAAATTCATGTAAATGAATTTAGAATATAATTTTTGCATAGTACTACTGTATAGAACTTTGCACTGTTTTTATCCTAGCTCCATGATGGCGAACCTATGGCACGCTTGCCACAGGTGGCACACCTAGCCATATCAGTGGACACACGAGCTCAGCTCCGGCCCGTATGTGCCAGCGAGCTGATTTTCAGGTCTTCTGGGCCCACCAGAAGTAGGGAAGAAGGCTGTTTCCTGCCTCCGGAGGACCTGGGGGGGTGGGGAAGGCCCATTTTTCTTTCTCACCTGGCTCCAGGGCCTCTCTAGGAGTCTGGGGAGGGTGAAAACTGCCTTCCCTCTCCCCCACGGAGATCCTCTGGAGCCCGAAAACGGCCCGTTTAACAACTTCTGATGGGACCAGAAGGCCCGTTTTTTGCTGTCCCTAGCCTCCAGGGCCTCTCTAGGAGTCTGGGGAGGGTGAAAACGGCCTCCCCCCCCCGAGGCCCTCCAGAGGCTGAAAACGGCCCGTTTAACAACTTCCAGTCTCACCGGAAGACTCTAGGAGTCTGGGATTGCCGTTGGGATCGCCCACCCCAGACTCCTAGAGAGGCCCTGGAGCCAGGTGAGAAAGAAAAACGGGCCTACCGGGCCATCATGTGCCGGGAGCGGGAGGTGGGGGATCGCGTGCGCATGCATGGGGCAGGGCACATAGAAATATGGGTGTGGGCACGTGCGCACGTGACACCCCCCCCTTTCCTGGCATGCGATGGCAAAAAGGTTAGCCATCACTGTCCTAGCCGTTTCTCCATGTTGTATTGCTTTTTTTTTTTTTCCTGAAAACCACACGAAAATTGCTTCTTTTTTCCTTCTCCCCGAATCCTTTTCAATCTTACATATTCAGGGAATACTTTCCACATCAAATCATGTGCTAAAGTGTTTTGCATACATAGTGCAAACCTCAGCACGTTGCAGAAGTAATATATGAGGATATTGATGTGAAAGCCTTGGTTAAGTGTTGGTCAATCTCGTAATTGCCACGTTGGAGAGTGCTGTATGGGTATATTCAGAATATCTTAATCCTCCCATGAAAGTACACATTTTTACAAAATGCAAATTATAAGCAAACCAATTTTCAGAGAAAGGTTAAGGATCTCCCATACAATTTGAAAGCTATTGCCTGTTCCATATTAAATAGCTATCCAATGTACTGTCTCATACAGCACATGTTGGCTGTACCAACATTTTTTTAAAAAACCCTTCCCCATTTGGTCATTTAACTGCCCATTGCACTTCTGTATTGAATTGCGTCTTTAATGCATGTAATTTTCTTGGTGACTGCATCTCTGTCAACCTTGTTAGCAAAAGGCAAGGGCGTGGGGATGTCCAAAACAATAGAACAGATTTTTTTTAAAAAATCAGCTCATTTTTTTTAAAAGCCCAATTCCCACTGTGAGGTCAGAGAAAGAACCTGCTCCCATCTCTCCTGCAATTATGATAGCGGTGCCAGCTACTGAATAAGAAGCTGTTATGTTCACATAATACACTTCCTCTGAAAGAAAGGATTGCCCATTCAAAAGCAGATAGTAGATGCCACCGGGGCACAGTAATTGCTACCACTTTGAAAAACTGCTGGTCTCTTAATAACTATCCTGTTTTACTGAGTGACTATTACAGGGCATTTCATTATAGCGTAGAGGTTAAGATGTAAGACCTATACGAGAAGACCCAACTGCAGATCCCCACTTGAATATGGAGATTGCCGGGTGACATTAAGTGAGCCATTTTCTCTCCACATAGCTTACTAAAAAGGCATCAAATGAAGGAAGGTCTTCGTGTATATCATCTTAAGCTCTCAAAGGCAAAGCCGGAAGATAAATGCAGTGTATAGAGTTCCTGAGATCACAGCTTTAATTGGCCTCATCTCCCCAAGTCACATTTGTGGTTTTGGGAAGTCATTACAAAAAAGCTCTGGAGAATTTCCTAAAATCCCTTCCTGTATTGTTTGTTTCCATGGACTGCAGCAAAATCAGAGTAATTTTTCAAGGTCATCTTAATCACCGTCCAGGTTTAGTGGTTAAAAAAAATGAAAAGAGAAGATTTTACTGTAAAATCAAAAACTTTCCTCATCCTTATTGGAAACCTTCCATTTGTTCTATGTAGTAGATTTTCATTTGTTCAATGAAATGGACTCAATCAGATGAAGCAATTGCTATAGTAATCAAGTTCATGTTTTGCAGGAGAATTTGGGAAAGATTTTAAATAGACAAGAATGCACATACTCTGCTAAAATATTTTTTAAAAGCTTGTGCAATATTTTATGCACAAGCATAAAATTTTATAATCTTGCATCCTTAGGTAATTTTATAGGAGTGAGACCACAGATAAAAGTAACAAACTACAGATATAATTTAAAACATTGGCAGAAGTAAAACATTTTATCCCATAAAATGAATTGATAGATATTGCATAAAACGTTTAAAACTCAGACATGTTAATTTATTAATCTAGGTTTTGTTTCTATAGCCATAATTCAACATTTATCTGTCACTATTGTTAGGATTTTTATCTGAGAGAAGAATTTTAACTTGTACATAAATACTTCTTTCTGGTCTTGATTTTAAAATAGGCTAGATAATATCTGCCAAAAATGCTTGTAAAATTCACAGAGCAATCAAATACAATCCACAGTTTCAAGTATCTTTATCAGTATCTTTATCAGGACAACACCTTTGAGAGACCGGAATCTTTTGAAATGTATAGTGTAATAGGTGATGGCAATGCTTTTAATCAGGTTTTTGAAAAGATTATTTTATATTTACTTAAATGTAAACTGCTAAAATGTATTGGCAGTCAAAAAGCATAGTTGTAAAATTCAGGGTAAATAATTAAATGTTATAATAGTGATAACTTTTGCAACGATTTGGGAAATTATTTCTAAATAGGATGCACATATGCAATCAAGTTTAAGAAAACACAGGCATCCCGGGATTATGCTATATTATCTGTTAAAACAATTATTTCAAAGATGCTGCTCATTTTTAAAAGGTGCAAAGTTAACTTCAAATAGCTACATATCTTCCAGTCCAAATTTAAATAATATGAATGGCTTCCCGACCCTCTAAATATTGCATTAGAGTACTTAGGTTTCTAACCTTTGACTGTGCAAAATTACTTGCCACAAGATGTGGATTGCCGAGTTAAAATAATATCTCTCATTTAAGTACAGTTTCTGTTATGTCCTGGACCACAGAGTGGAATTGGTTTGTCACTATCTTGTTCCATGTTGCTTTTTTCTAAATTTATAGTAGTTTGTAGACCTAGCCCATCTAAATAATCATCTGCCTAAATCTGCTTATGTTCCAAATGCAAACAAAGTCAGATATGTGCTTCTACCTGGTAAGAGAATGTTGATTCAGATGCAAGTCAATTCATCTTCATTAAAAGTCCATGGAATTCCATATTCAAAGTGCCCCAATGAATACCAATCACTATAAGGAAAGCCATTTATTTAATGTTCTCTCTTTGACTTCCAAAAAGTTCACCAACTTGTAGAAATAGGTCATTAGATTGGTCCACTATAACTCTAAGTAGCTCAGCAGACTAAAGCACTGTTATTAACATCCACTTACATCTGCTGCCTGCAATTACTGCAAGTTCAAATCTCACCAGGCTCAAGGTTGACTCAGCCTTCCCTCCTTTCTAAGGTAGGTAAAATGAGAACCCAGATTATGGGGGCAATAAGCTGACTTTGTATAAATATACAAAAGTATGAAGGCTATTGCTTAACGCATTGTAAGCCACCCTGAGTCTCCGGAGAAGGGCGGCATATAAATCAAATTTTTTAAAAAAGTATATCTTCTGTGTTAAGGGGTATATGTACATTGTTGTTTGCCAGTGTATGAGTTAGAACATCTAGTTTCCTTGATTTTTCTGAAGCAGCACAGTTTTCAAAGCAAGCTTAAGTCTTCTCTTATTGAAGAAGATCTCGTATTATGAGCATGGTAGAGGACATTGAACAATTGCATGTTGTCTATGAGATTCATTAAAATACGTGTTTCAATAGTTTAATTTCTGTAATCCTACTTCCCCAGGTCCAGCAACGAACTTTTAATAACCTGCCTGTTATCCCAGCTAAACAGAACCATAATTCCATTCCCAAACACATG